CATGCGGCTCACCTGATGGTAAGTGACTACCGCCGCCCATGGTCACCCACAACACCTACGGCATTGCAGGTGTGCTGCCGGCCTTTTAAAAAGGAATATGCTCTTTTCTTGAAGGTTATGTTGTCGTATCGGTTCGGAAATACTGCTGCTGGAAGTTGATTCCAAAGAGTGGTTGTGCGTGGAAGAAAGTGCCTTGAAAAACGCACGGTGGAGGACCGCCACTCGTCCAGATGGTTGGGATGAAATTTTAGTTTATGGCGGGTTGTACGATGGTGAAAATCTGCAGCAGGTATCAATCCGAACAATTCTTCAGAGCACTCCCCATGATAAATTCGGCTGACGGCTCACCAGATGGAAAGTGGTAACCGTCGCCTAAGTTTCCATCAGGTGGGCCGTCAACTTGTTCGCCATTTATGACAACATGATATACGTATATATTTTTAACAGCATTTAATTCTCTTATTTTATTATATCGTGAACGCGAAAGATTTTAAGGACAGGTGGGTGGATATTTGTTATTCTTTCACGCAAAAACTACTGAATGGATTTGAATGAGATTTGAAATACTGGCTGGTCTCCTAACTTACCATATAGGTTATTTTATGTACCAATTTATGTAGGCAAAGCCACGGAATATAGCTAATTACTAGTAAGTAGTAGTAACAGTAAACAATGGGGTAAAAGATAGACGGATATACCATATATTGCTTAATATACCATATATGTGCGTGTAATGTGTAAACCATGTAAACTGTACGTGATAGTACCTTGCAATAGGCAGACTTCTTTAACAATACTTAATTGTTTATTAAATGACGTTAAAATATGTTTAATTATCAGTAGATTAGGCCCTTCTCATACATTTTTTTTGATGGGTGAAAATGGTATGGTAACCCCGCCTGCGCTAACGGGATACGCTGGCGGAGCACCAGTGAAGGGTGATAGATGAGAATGAAAACAGGCCAGTTAGCCCATCATAATGAATTTATCAGAAATCAATCATGATAGTTTCCAGGGGGAACCGCGAGGAGGTCGACCTGGTTGGGTATATTGCTAGCAATGGGATTCTCAGTTTCCATTACTAACAATCCCTTTTCCCTCCACTTCTCATACATTGTACGTACTTGCTTAAAATAACTGTTAGTTAGACACGCTTTTTCAAGCGTGTTTTGTTTGTCTATTTGTAGAATAAGCCATTTATTGACATTGCCAGTCGACCGTAGCTGTCTAAAACGAATCTGTTTGTTCGGAGGTGTCCGCATTCGACTCGGTGTTAGTAACGCGTCCATTTTCACAATACATATAAGCAATTTTTCTTTGGAACATATAGCGACATCTGTCGTCGAGTGGAAACAACTATTAATTTTCAATACCATGTAAGTGCACTCATTAATAGATGGCGCTGATTTCTTCAAACATGGACGCAAAACATACTCTAAAAGGATTAATTATTTAATGTGAAAAAATCTGATAATTACCGAACTATAAGATTTACTTAAGTAACTATAAGAATTACTTATCATTTTTAAAAACTTGTTATAATTCAAAACTTGTTATAATTCTGTAGTCTGACCTATCATCTGTTTAAACCTATTTGTTGCTAGCTTTATACCATGTCTGGTCTACCTCCACGCGGTTCCTATTGGAAAATACTGTGATTAATTATCATTACTTCATTAAAGTCCTCGTCAGCTGATCAACTTTCATCCTCACCAACCATCTCTCACTGGTTACCAGGTAGTTCATACCGACATCGCGGGCGGGGTTACCATACCATTATCATGCATTACCTAAATAAAAGCTTTCGATTCCAAATCATCGTATAAAATCCAATTATTACGATCCAAAACATAGATTTTATTCCTTTACATTACTATTGTAAAAAAAAAAAAAAACTATTAAAACTTCACTAAAAAAGTATAATTAAATATGGCTCCGTAAGGAAGGAACAGAATTAATACGTGGTTTTATTTTATAAAATTTCCCGAATAAATATTATCCACCTAATAACCTGCGGACACGAACTAACTTTCTTCTCGGACTATCCACCAATAACGTACAATTACAAATACTATAAAACAATACAAACGGACGTACTGTGAATCTCCTCCTTTGAGGAAATGTAGACAATATCCTCAGGCCACCTTCTACCTTCAAACTTATCTAAAATTCCCATAAATTGATACAAACGACCGCACCATATCAAGTCCATAAAGCATAAACTATTGGCCAACTTAATTTCCGGTACAGAGTCGTATCTCGGCTAGGACGCCCGGACGGTCCGCGGAGGAGCCCGCGCCAGCACCCCCGGGCATATTTATTGGAACCCTTCTGTGACAGAATATTATTAATCGATAAGCGTTTTTTTTTTTTTTTTTGATGGGTGAAAATGGTAAGGTAACCCCGCCTGTGCTAACGGGATACACTGGCGGAGCACCAGTGAAGGGTGATAGACGAGAATGAAAACAGGCCAGTTAGCCCATTCTGATGAATTCATCAGGAATTAACCATGATAGTTTCCAGGGAGAACCGCGAGGAGGTCGACCTAGTAGGGTATATTGCTAGCAATGGGATTTTCAATCTCCGTTACTAACAATCCCTTTCCCCCCAATCGATAAGCGTGGACTACAGCAGATAAATGTGGTTTGGTTTAAATAAATAGTAGGTTTATTTGGCGACCAAATTATCGTTATGGACGACTGGCATTAAACATCATATACCCATATGGGTAATCTTAGTATAATAAATCTGTAGAGAGGTCAATTCTGTATATGAAATATATTTCCAAAATAACTATCAGCGGGTGATTAGTGATCGATACTGATGCCAAAAATATAATCAGTAAAATTTTTGTCTCTCTGTCTGTATGTTCGTTATTGAAACAAAAACTACTCGACGGATTTTAACGAAACTTGTTACAATTTTTTTTCATACTCCTCGGCAGGTTATAGTATACTTTTCATAACGCTACGATCAATAGGAGCAGAGCAGTGAAGGGAAATGTTAAAAATGTCCACTCGTACGACGCCGGGACGGGCCGCTAGTAATAAATAAACTTATTTCAAACTTGAAATCTTTACTTTGTCACGTCCTTTTCCCACGGTGCCAGGTGAAACGTTAAGGGCGCGTGTGATGTCACGTGAACACTAGTGACGGCCATTTCACGTGATAACGTGGAGCTTGGTATATAAATAGGCATCGCGTGACAGCAGCCGTGACGCGAGCCGTCAGTGACCAAGTACTTAATTCGTTACACTTAGTATTTACGTCACAGTACTATTATATCGATGGTTTGAGATGAAACCTTACGAATTACCTACGAGCGTTACGACCACAGTGTTATTCTTATAGTGTTTTATTTTTTATGGGTGATAATGGAAAGATAACCCTGCCCGCGCTATCGGTATACACCGGCGGGGCACCAGTGAGAGATGATAGGTGAGGATGAAGCAGGTCAGTTGGCCCATCGTGACGAATTCAACAAGAATTGTTCACGATGGTTTTCAGGGGAACCACGTAGAGACCGACCTAATAGGGTATATTGCTAGCAATGGGGCTGTCAAACTCCATTGCTGACAATCCCTTCCCCCCCCCCCCTATTATTATATTGTTATTGCCATATAGAATAGGCTACCCCTACCTTTTTCCATAGTTTTCTCATTGTGATAATTTCTTGTAATTATTTATATTTATAATAAGTTTACTATTGTAATCTTTTGGAGGAAACAATAAAGATTATCTATCTATCTTAATTCTAGTGAAATTCGTCATGATGAGCTAATTGGCCTGCCTTTTCATTCTCACCTGTCATCCCTGACTGGTGACTCGCCAGCATATCGCGATAACGCAGGCGCGGTTACCATTCCTTTGTCATCTATTAAAAAAAACATAGGCTTTGGCGATATTTTAAGAAGGACGCTGCCCATCCCTCGCCTTCAATCGTCTCTTACAATATCTACGGAAACGGAAGAAGTGATCTATTCTATGGCTGGACCACATGGTCAGTTTTTCACTTTTTATAGAAGGCATCAATCAATATATAATATGGTATCTTATTGGTATCAGAGGGAGACTTTGTACAAAAGTCGTTTGTTTGGCTACCTCTGTCCCATTCGTGTTTCTACCGTGAAGCAGTTGTGTTTGCATGGCTGTGTTTCGGTTTGAAGGGTGGGATACGGCAGTGAATTTACTGGGTACAGAGGAATAACACCCGAGTCCTCAGGAATGGCAACGCATGGGGAGTATCATGGGCGAAACAGTATACTCTGTTATGTCCATGGTACTGGTCATGTCTATAGGCGACGGTTACCACTTTCCATCATGTGGGATGTCAGATTGTTTGCCATTCTAAGTTGCAAAAAAAAAATTAAAATATTATCATTTTTTACGGGAAAGTTCTACCAGTGAAATGAAAGTTTTTTTTTTTAATTCAAACTTAATAAGTAAATTATATTGTTACATTTATATATAGGTACGTATCATGAAAATAGGCAATTAATATTGAACATACAAATAATTATTGTAACTTAACTTCACCTTAATATTTTTAATAAAAAACAAAAAAAACTAAAATGTACCAAGTCATATCCACAGGAAAATAGATTATAAATATGGTTACGGAACAAACAGAACATGCCCAATGCACTCTTAACCGGTTATTTTGTAGTCATAAACTCATTCTTATGGTAGGTATAGTGCAGTTTTGCCAACTTTGGTCAAAATACGTCATATCACCGCATCACGCAACACACGCAAGCGTGCACTTAACGACCGATCAAAAATCAATCCATACGTGTAAAGTATTAAGTTCAAAATAAAAAGAATGTCCATTCCAGACGAAAAAACTTCCAACCTGTCACGCAGGAACGTCATCGACGGCACGTACTCATAGCAACAACCTCTCAAACTGGACTCTAACGCGTGAGCTTAAAGTCGTTTCTCATACATCGGGATAATCCGACATGGAGTTGTGGCAGAGTGGCGCGGGGGGTATCGACCGTTCGCTGTCTCACTCTGTCACAGACGCGAGGCGACATCGCTCGGGTAGCACGCGCGTCGCACCGCGGAAAAATGCCATGTGCACGCCGCAGCGATGTGTTGGCGTCAAGTGTCCAAATTACAAAAGACTGTGTTCATTGTGCTATTTTACGTAATACTGTACTTACTGATATTGTATGCGATGAGCCCGGACACAACGTTGACATTCGTGAACGACGAGATGCAGGGCGACAAGTATCCCCTGTTGTTTCTAGTTGCGCCCAATATGCCGGTTTTTTCGGATCCCGAGGGCGCAGACGTGTTCAGATCTAGACGTTGCGGGAACTGCTTCATCACTAACAATAAAGGCTTCTTACCCATCAGCGGGTACGATGCTGTATTAGTGTACGGCGATCGAAGTGTCCTGTCGCAGACGGCCGCATTTATGGACCCGGGGAAACGGTACCTGATAGAATCGAGCGAGGATTGCTTGAGGAACAAGCTGAGGAGATGCAGTATGGAGCCGAAAATCACCTCGTATAGTAGTAAAGAATCGTATGACCTATGCGGTCTTTGCCATCTCCTGGAAAAATAGCGCCTTCGGAATTTGATGTGATAATACTGGTAGTTAGAACTGTATTGCCTTGTATGTTACGGTGCCTGTGAAATAATAAGGCCTGCCAAATAATGATTGTTGAATATTGTATGTATACAGAATGATATGGGTATTGTAAGTTGGTGCTTGAGCTAATTTTATTATACCTAGGTACTGTATATCCCTAGTTTCAGTTTGTTTTTATATTTTTTATTTATCCAAACGCGTACCCTTGTTTCGACTCTGTTATTCTGCAATGCAGAGGCATAATCATCTGGAATTAGGGATGTGCAAACCGCTTTAACTGTTGGCATTTATCAAATTAAATGTATTAATGCTTTATGTTTAATTTTATCACGAAATTTTGTTTACGTTTAAAATTTTTTGAGACTAATCTAAACCAAATTTGTTATAGACTGTAAATGAATAATACCTAGTTGCCTCGAATATACCTAATTAAGATATTTTTAAAGAAATCTCAATAATACAATAAATAGTTGAGAGAAGCAAATCTTTTAAAATATTATTTCATAATTATTATATTTGATTCGTTGTGAATTTTGTTGTTTTCATTACGCGTGTTACCATATAGAGCAGATGTCATGGTACATAGAAAGTACAAAGGTAATAATTTAATAACAGAAGGTCCATTAATATAAAAAAAAAAAATATATATATAATTATTGTAAATTATGAAATATTCATATTTTTAATTGTAAGCTGTAATAAGTGCATTATTATGTCTAACACTTTCAGCTAGATATTTGAAATAAATTTCAAAGTGTTTTTAATGTGGTAAGAAAAAAAGTGTCCAAAAAAAAAAAAAACTATGTGTTATCCTATCAAATGTATATTTATCTATGTTCGAAACATAGTTAATTGTGATAACAATAACTAAGTTAAGGTAATTGTAACAACATGAGATTGGTGACAATAGAATCAAAGTGAATTTTTAATAATTTATCCTCGATTATAATTTATAAATCAACAATCGATTCTTGTGTTTCACATTAATACTTTATGTAACACGTCGTTTCCAGTAACCGACTTGGTCACAACACAATGCATTGTATTGTAAGAATGTAACAATCGATAATATAACTTCTAATAACAGTTTCATCGACTAGACTTCTGAACGTCAGCCAAACTAAAGTTATTAGCATGTTATATAAATCAATGAGAGCCATTTATAATGTTTTTGCGTTTAATTGAACATTCTTGTGTTGCCAGATTGTTTATAAAGACATAAGTAACAATTACAAAAATGCTTTAACTATTTATGTTTTTAAAAGTGCTAAAAAAGAAAAAAGTTTAGCACTTTTAAAATCGACATTTTAATTATGGCGTTTACTTTTACGAATACACTTTACAAAATTGGTTTATTTTTGTTTTTAAAAGTGCTAAAAAAATAAAGTTTAGCACTTTTAAAATCGACATTTTAATTATGGCGTTTACTTTTACGAATACACTTTACAAAATTGGTTTATTTTTGTTTTTAAAAGTGCTAAAAAAATAAAGTTTAGCACTTTTAAAATCGACATTTTAATTATGGCGTTTACTTTTACGAATACACTTTACAAAATTGGTTTATTTTTGTTTTTAAAAGTGCTAAAAAAATAAAGTTTAGCACTTTTAAAATCGACATTTTAATTATGGCGTTTATTTTTACGACTACTCTTTACAAAATTGGTTTATTTTTGTTTTTAAAAGTGCTAAAAAATAAAGATTAGCACTTTTTTAAAATTGGAATTTTAATTTTGACTATTACTTTTATACTTACGAACACTTTCAGTGTGTTTAAAAGAATAATTAAGAAATAAGTAAAATCTGATTAATTTAGGCAAATAATACAAATTTTCATATTTTTTTCTTTCAATAATTGGAGCTGGTTATGTAGGAAACATCTATTTGAAAGTTTATTAACAATCCACGTACTTAAAATGGTTGATTTCTGCATGATTAGCTCAAATTGTATCCACCATCTTATAAACATCATAGTATGATAGTAAAATAAAGGAAAAAAAATATAGTCAACAGTAAAACAGACTCTTCTCAACAGATAAAAATTTTCCTTATAAAAAAAATGACGAATTAAAAGTGCTTGTAAACATGTCTATATATTTGAGTAAAGACGATATGAATTTGAATGTAATAGAAATAGTTACAAATAAAAAATATGCATCCAAATCGGAATACACACGTCTGTACAGTCACATGTAAGAACTTTACAATATACTTATATTACAATAATAATATGCCTTTACAAGGAAATCTATTATATGGAGCATTAAAATACATTATATATATATATATATATATATATATATATATATATATATATATATATATATTGTCTTTGATAATTTAATTTTAATTAACGACATGGGTGTTTAACGCTTGTTAGTATTAATTTAATCATGTGCCATTGTACAAGTAGGTAGTTAGGTAAGAGTTAGAGATTTGTTTCTCTCGATCGTCACAAAATTATAAAGGTGATATAACAAATAGATTTTGTGTTTAGTTTATACAAAAAGTGTGAAATAAATAGACAATACCTTAATAATACGTTTATTATAGGTGAAATAAATTTATTTCTATTCATTTTGTGTTTTCCCGTAATTAAATAAAAAAATATATGAATATTATACGATTATTTATTACTAGCTGCCCGTCCCGGCGTCGCACGGGTGGACATTTTTAACATTTCCCTTCACTGCTCTGCTCTTATTGATCGTAACGTGATGAAAAGTATACTATAACCTGCCCAGCAGTATGAAGAATGATTGTACCAAGTTTCGTTAAAATCCGTCGAGTAGTTTTTGTTTCTATAACGAACATACAGACAGACAGACAAAAATTTTACTGCTTGCATTTTTGGCATCAGTATCCCCTTTTTTTTTTTTTTTTTTTTTTTTTTTTTAACGTCTGGAAAATGCTTTATGCAGACCCATACACCTTGTGGGAGGTGAATGGGTACTGTGGGAATCCCCCCGTAAGGTGGGGGTGTACCCACTAAAAACCAGACGATATACCCTCGAGGTGCCATATGTCGGAGACATGGGTTCGCTTTCGCACTCACCACATCTCAGACGGCAGCGACCCGCCCCCAGATGGTAAGAACAGGTCTCCTCTCTCAAGATAGGGTGGATGGCGTGCTCACTCTACCACTCGGAGGATGCGCCGGTATATTAGCACATCCCCCAGGACCATTGGGACAATACCTTCCCACAGGTATCACCCCGGCCCTAGTGGGGAAGGAGGAGGGGCGGAACTGGGCGCGCCCCTCCTTCTGCGTCTGACTCGTCTGCGGCGGATTGACGGTGCGAAAGTGGCACTCTCCCGCTCCCTTTCCGCCGCCTCCTTCTGCGACATGACGGCGTCGCAGAAGGCGAGCATCGCTTCCCACGATCTCTCACTGCTCACCATCCGCCGAACCACGGCGGGCAGTGAGAGATCGGTCCCCACTATCGCGGACAAGATACGACGCTCATCGGCATACGCTGGGCACTCCTCCAGCGTATGCTCCGCCGTGTCCTGGTCCGCTCCACAAGCATGGCACTCCTCCGTCGGCTCCCTGCGCGCGACATGACACAGATATCGCCCAAAGCACCCATGCCCGGACAGTATCTGTGTCATCCTGAAGGTCAGCGGCCTTCGCCGCCTATCCATCCACTTCTTAAGAAGTGGACGGATAGCCTCGACGGTCCTTCGGCCGGCCGATGGATCGGCCAGCCGCTGTTCCCACTCCCGCTGCAGGACCCGTCGAATGTGGTACTTCCGCAGCGCAACTTCCAGCCTGGAAGGCTCGGCACCCTGGCGCCTCCGCTCGGCATCAGTATCCCCTGAATGCAAAATTTCATTGATTGCATTTTTGACATCAGTATCCCCTGAATGAAAAATTTCACTGATTGCATGTTTGGCATCAGGCTCCCTCTAATTTCTCTTCACTAATCACTGCTTAAAGTTATAGAAATATATTTGAGTTGTAAAATAAAATACGATATTTAACAGCATTGCTGTTATCATTGCAACTGAATGTTACTATCATATTTTTTTTAAATACCTAATCCATTTATTAATGGAATGATAAACTTAGTCGCTGATTTAAGCTTGCAATGTACCACTGTTGTGAATGATAGCTTATCATGACGATACATAGTGGATAAATAGGAACAGTCCGGCCAGTTAGTCCATCGTGACGAATTTACCATGAATTAGCCGCGATTGCTAGTCGACCTGATAGGGTTTATTAATATTGCTAATATTGGGGCCGGGGGGGGGGGAGGGATTATCAGTAATGGAGACTGAGAATCCCATTTTAATCCTTTAGTAATATGGATAAAACCATATTACGCCGACCGCAAATAATAATTGGGATAAGGGTAGGAGGATGATGATGAATGGGGCCAATAGTCCCCATTACTAATAATATCCGTCTCTATCTTGTCGATACAGGTATGTACTAAGCAATATTACTATTAAGCGATGCTTCAATTAAGATAATGGAATATTTTTTTCTATTCTTATCTGAGGTAGGTATAAAGGTATTTTCCAGATGGTAGCATTTTAATGTTATTACCCATTTGAATCCAATTAATCCATTTGAATTTGAAGAAAAATAAATCTGTTCATGTTAGTATACAAAAATAAGTCCTAAATGTTCCACATACTGATTGATTTTGTAACGGTTAAAAATTGGACATTTCTTACTATGAATTTTTTACTTCTGATTCTGTCTGAATCATTATCATCATCATCAGATTAGCCTTTAACTGTCCACTGCTGAACATAAACCTCCCCCTTGGAAAGTTTTGCCATCTGGACGAGTGGCGGTCCTCCACCGTGCGTTTTTCAAGGCACTTTCTTCCACGCACAACCATTCTTTGGAAACAACTTCCAGCAGCAGTATTTCCGAACCGATACGACAACATAACCTTTGAGAAAAGAGCATATTCCCTTTTAAAAAGCCGGCAGCACATCTGTAATGCCGTTGGTGTTGTGGGTGATCATGGGCGGCGGTAGTCACTTACCATCAGGTGAGCCGCATGCTCGTTTGCCCCCTGTGTTGTAAAAAAAATTGCCACGCTAGGCAGGCGGATTGGCAACAGAAGTTAGGCTTTGAAGATGTTTCAAGAGGGACACTGTTGCCCATTCCACGTCCTATTTACAGACGTTTTAAAATGGACAACGTAATTTTCGATGACGTATTCACATGTCACGATGTACCTAGCTAGTACTTGCTACATCGCTCTGGGTGACGAGTCGGCGATCGTCTTAAATTATTAACACCTATTGACCCACGACGGTCTAGTATTCGCCCCTGGCCTCATTCGCCTTGCTAAACACTGCGCAATGTGGGTTTGTGACTAATACAGGTATTCACCATTGCAGGTATTGCTTTTTTTTATACAACTTAGAATGGCCAACAAGCTGACGGCCCACCTGATGGAAAGTGGTAACCGTCGCCTATAAACATGAGCAGTACCATGGACATAATAGAGTATACTGTTTCGCCCATGATACCTCCCATGCGTTGTCATTCCTGAGGACTCAGGTGTTATTCTTCCGTACCGTCTTTTCTTCCGTAATTAAAATTGCTGAAATGATTACGATGTAAATATTAGTAATTAAATTTTTGTTTAGTTTTTTTTTATTAATTACCCATAATCGTAATAAATATTTTTAAATACGGATAATTTAGTTTACAGCATTTGTAATAGTAGTTTGGATGTTGTGAAATAATTAATTCGATTCGGTTAGGAAGCAGATATAAACTCTTACGTAAACATTTAACAGGAAAACTGTGAAACATAATATGTTCAAACTAGGTAATTACATAATAACATGTAATATGTGTAGATTTAATAATCATTTCGTTGTTTTAATAATTTAAAATACTTTTTCAATGGATGAAAATGGAACGGTAACCTCGCCTCTGCTATTGGTTTACGCTGGCGTAAACGCTGGCTGGCGTGTAACGTGCAACGATTGCATGAGGATGCTGACTTCATCCTCTATGAAGATGACTTCATTTGAGAGCCTACCATGTTTTCCGAAATTTCGGAGCCAACCGAAATAGAAATTTGATGTTAAAATTACATAATACATGCCGTTTGGAAATATTAAAAATGTTAAAATATCGTTCCTTTGGACTTTTATGATAGGATGTATGACGAATGAAATGTTAAACTCCATTTATTGGTCCGATTTTGGTAAAAAAAAACTCAAAATTAAGTCCGCTGGCCCTCTAGATAAGTGGCAAGCGAATTCGTCGATGGAATCGACATCATTAGCGAGTCCGTGAGATAGAATGAAATAGAAACGCCGGGTGACTCATTCTGTCTCACGGACTCGCTAGCGATGTCGATTCCATCGACGAATTCGCTTGCCACTTGTCTAGAGGGCCAGTTTGTACATCATCAGTACAAATTCACGTGAAGGAAAAAAATGCTCTTGACTTTTTAATTCGTCTGTATTTTCAACCGACTTAAAAAAGAAGAGGAGGTTTCCAATTCCAGGTTGAATGTTTTTTTAATGGGTGATAATGGAATGGTAACCCCGCCTGCGCTAGCGGTATACACTGGCGGGGCACCAGTGAAGGATGATAGGTGAGGATGAAGCAGGTCAGTTAGCCCATCGTGACGAATTCAACAAGAATTGTTCACGATGGTTTCCAGGGGGAACCACGTGGAGGTCGACCTGATAGTGTATTGCTAGCAATGGGTTCATTGGACCCCATTACTAACAATCCCTTCCCCCGTCTATGGTCGGATCGATTAATTGTTTTTTTTTTACTTTTTAATTAAACTGCATTTACTGTTTACAAATAAAGTGATCTATCATTGTTACTGACGCTACAACTTCCTTAAATTTCTCATTAATTTCTCTAACGCAATCAGGATACGCGGTGAAGTCGACCGTGGCGAATAACAGTACTTCCCTTTTTCGTTCATCAGTCGAGTAGTGCTCTTTTGTTTATGTGTTGTGTGAGCTAATGTGTGTGGTTAAAAATGGTCAAATTGATAAGGTTAGATAACTCGTGTTTACGTATTTTATTTTTTTTAATACATTCAATTTAATTGTGATCGAAATACTAACATAAGAGTAAACTCCCTAAAAGGATCGTCAATATCGGTTCAGAATTAAGGAAAATAACGCGTAAAGCTTTCTAATTTTTTTTTTCTAAAATAAAAAATATATATATACCCTACCCGCGTAGCTAATTTAATTGAAATGCATTCGGCTGTTTAAGTGTGGTTAAGTGATAAACATATACATATAACAACATTACAAATATTTATATTTATAATACTACCTGTATACCGCAGCTATACCCGTGTTAACGCTGTGTGGTCCCGGTATAGAATTGGCCACCCCTTCCTTTCCCGTAGGTGTCGTAAGAGGCGACTAAGGGAGGACTAGAGATGGGCAGCAGCGTCCCTCTTAAAATATCCTCAAAGGCCTAACTGTGGTTGCCAACCAGAGGGAGACTTTGTACAAAAGTCGATTGCTTGAGTACCCCTGTCCCATTCGTGTTTCAACCGTGAAGCAGTTGTGTTTGCATCGCTGTGTTTCGGTTTGAAGGGTGGGATGTGGCGTGAATTTACAGGGTACAGAGGAACACTACCTGAGTCCTCAGGAATGGTAACGCATAGGGGGTAATATGGGCGAAATAGTATACTCTGTTATGTCCATGGTACTGCTCATGTCTATAGGCGACGGTTATCACTTTCCATCAGGTGGGCCGTCAGCTTGTTTGCCATTCTAAGTTGTATAAAAAAAATAAATAAAAAAAAAATGAAAAAAAAGCAAAATACATAAAACAAGTAAGATTTTTTTTTAACTTACAGATTGGTCTCATAGAAGTTTTATCAAAATATGTTTAGTAGTTTAGTTTTTACATCAAAATAGTTAATTTTGTCACAATTGTTTTTTTTTTGTTTTTTGGCAAAACACAATTATTTTTGTGTTGCCGATTGTCGGGATAAAATTTTGTTTTACTTTAAGATGATCTGTAGACATAGATGTATTTAAAATGGGGCTGGATAGGCTGTGCCCACACCAAAATCGTCTAATGCCCACCTCAGAATGCAAACTAAATTTCCCAAAATTATATTATATGAGGGTACATTTAAAGCCTTTTTAAGTATTCAAAAATATATCATTCATTATCGAATAGTTTATCATCAGACGGTTTGTACACTCCTTTGCCACTTTTATAGTATAAAAAAAATTGCTATTTTTTTTTTGTAGAACAAAATCTTAAAAGGACAAAGTATATATGCGATATGACATAAGGCTTTATGTAAACATTTTCAGATGACATCTAACAATTTTACTCGTGACAGATGGCGCTAGCTGAACTATTTCCTGTTGTTCTGAAGCGCGTCTCGCACGACTGATAACATTGACAGATACGTGATAATGAAATTCAAAGTAGTTCAAAACAAATGCGTCACAAATGAACATTTCATTCTATACATAATTAAAACTGTGTAAATATTATTATAAGGTGAACAATTTGATTTACACACATATATGTTTATTTGTAATGAATTATCTTAAAAACTACTCAAATTATTTTAAAAATTCTTTCATCTATAGTAAGCTACATTAATAGCGAGTAACATGGACTATTTATAATTTAAAAAAAAAAGCTCGCTACAAAAATTATAATAATATTACCCAAGCTTAGATTATATAGATGGAGCATCGAGCAACAAAAACGGGTCAATTTTTTGTCAGCTAATTGTCATATTTGCTGACAAACTCGTTTTTTTTTTAATCAGTATTCTATATATTGTATATACGTGTAAAATGTATTTTAAGGTATTATATTAATAAATAAAATGTATGTTTACACATTAACATAATAAATATAGAAATATATATATATACAATATAACCTTCCTAAGAAAAGAGTATATTCCTTTTTCAAAGGCCGGCAGCACACCTGCAAAGTCTCTAGTGTTGTGGGTGATCATAGGCGGCGGTAGTCACTTACCATCAGGTGAGCCGAATGCTCGTTTGCCCCCTGTGTTGTAAAAAAAAAAATAAAAATTATCACGCAAAATTGTGTGAAAAATTTACCATTTCTTTCTCGAAGCGTTTTTATATGGGGACACTCTATCTATATAATCTAAGAACCCAGTGTAAAAAAAACATTAATAAGGCTTATCATTATCACATCAAATCCGCCGTTAAGTATCTACTGCCGAACACTGGCTTCCCACTATTGGGGGGGTTTTGGCAATAGTTGTAACGCTTGACAGGCAGCTAGTTTTGGCAGGCTGTTAAAGTTAATATACAATAGTAATTTATCTTTCTATCTACCCGTGCGAAACCTGGGCTAATCGCTAGTTATTTATTAAAAAATCTTATTAAGTCTTTATACTTCCTAATTACAAACTCATACCCTTACATCTCTTTTTTTATGGATGATAATGGAATGGTAACCCCACCCGCGCTATCGGTATACACCGGCGGGGCATCAGTGGAGGATAATAGGTGAGGATGAAGTAGGTCAGTTAGCCCATCGTGACGAATTCAACAAGAATTGTTCACGATGGTTTCCACGGGGAATCACGTGGAGGTCGACCTAATAAGGCATACTGCTAGCAATGGGGCTGTCAAACTCCGTTGCTAACAATCTATTGTCTCCCCCCCCCCCCCCTAATATCTCATATTATTACTGTCTACAGCTAGGTATAGACCTCCCCCAGATGAATGGGGGGAGGGGTACAGTATGAGGTTATTCAAAAAGGGTATATTAAAGTTTCTGCAGGGTTCGCAACTGCAGTTAGGCTTTGGTGATGTTTAAAGAGAAACGCTGGTGCTCATCCTTCAATCATTAAGTTCAACATTTCAACAATTAAGTCGCCTCTTACGACATCCACGGGAAAGGAGTGGCCCAATCTATGCCGGGATCACACGGCACGACCTGACAGGGTATATATATTGCTAGAAATGGGGTTGCTAGTCCCCATTAGTAACAATCCCTTCCGTCTGTTTATTTATATATATTTTTTAATGGATGATAAGGAAACGGTAAACCTGCCTGCACTATCGGTATACACCACCAGTGAGGGATGATAGGTGAGGATGAAGCAGGTCAGTTAGCTCACCATGACGAATCTAACAATAAATCAATCACGATGGTTTCCAGGGGGAACCACGAGGAAGTCGAGCCCCCATAACAAATTATCCCTTCCCTCCTGTATATTTATAATGTGTCCCTCAGTTGTAGATCGCAAGTCACCTTGTAAATATTACGGACGCTGTGACCATACTAAGCTATAACTTTCTTTGTTTAGAATTACGTCCATTATGGAAACAATAATACGACGATTTGTTCTTAACAAGTCATTTATTTCTATATTGTACAAAAAAAAACTTCGTTACTTCAATTAGTGTTATTATAACAACTATATGTAGTTATAAATCATTCAGACAATATATCTTTTATTACCTATTTTGTTTATTTATTATAGTATATAACTTACCTACCTTTGTTTTTTTTTTCTTTTTTAATAATTAAAATTTAATTTTTTTTTTTTTTTATACAACTTAGAATGGCAAACAAGTTGATGGCCCACCTGATGGAAAGTGGTAACCGTCGCCTATAGAAATGAGTAGTACCATGGACATAACAGAGTATACTGTTTCGCCCATGATACCCCCATGCGTTGCCACTCTTGAGGACTCAGGTGTTATTCCTCTGTACCCAGCAAATTCACGCCATATCCCACCCTTCAAACCGAAACACAGCCATGCAAACACAACTGCTTCACGGTTGAAATACGAATTGGACAGAGGTACCCAAGCAATCGACTTTTGTACAAAGTCTCCCTCTGATATGCCTCTGACTAAGCATTCAGTCCGCGTTTTGTGCCTAAAGTTTTTTTTTTTTATAATGTGATCAAGAATGTGTGAAGAATGAATAAACACTAATTTTTTCTGTCCTTATACATGTATAATATCTCTTATTTCTTGTTACCTGATTGGTAAAACAATTAATAATTACATATACCTTCCTTATTTTGCGTACTTTAACGAAAACTATAAAACAAAAAAAAAAATACTAATTAATTTCTGGATATAACTTCAGTTTCCTGCAAGTATACACGTGGACTGTACTCCTGGTGGCGACACTGGTCTCAGGCGATCTGTTCTCGAAGGCAACTAGAACGAAAGCTGACGATCGAGATCTCAGGAACAGCGTCTTCGACTTCATTATTGTGGGGGGCGGCACCGCTGGTTGCATCCTCGCTAACAGATTGTCCGCTGTACCTAGTTGGAAGGTAAAGAAGATATCGCAGAAAAATATTCACACTACTTTTTTTTTATATACAGCTTGGGATGGCAAACAAGCTGGCGATCCACCTGATGGAAAGTGGTAACCGTCGCCTATAGACGTGATCAGTACCATGGACATAACAGAGTATACTGTTTCGCCCATAATACCCCCATGCATTCCTATTCCTGAGGACTCAGGTCTTATTCCTCTGTACCCTGTAAATTCATTGTCATATCTCACTCTTTAAACCTAAACACAACTGCTTCACTGTAGAAATACGAATGAGACAGAAGTGCCCAAGCAAACGACTTTTGTACAAAGTCTCCCTCTGGTATCTATCTTTTACTATGATATTTACATCTGTATAACTTCCATACTATCTATATATCCATTTATTACAAAATTTTGCTACAAAATATACTTAATTACATACATACATACATATTTGTCATGCCTGTCTCCTATTAGGGTAGGCAGAAACAATGGAACGCCAAATGCTTCGATTAATTAATTACAATATTAACAAAATAATTCTATAAATAACTATATACATATTCCTTATAACAACATATATATATGACATATTATTTACGACCGAATACAGATAAGTATATATATATATATATATATATATATATATATATATATATATATATATATATATATATATATATATATATATATATATATATATATATATATATATATATATATATATATATATATATATATATATATATATATATATATATATATATATATATATATATATATATATATATATATATATATATATATATATATATATATATATATATATATATATATATATATAGCAACAATACAAAGGAGTCTTAGCTCAGTGGAAACTTGGAGAGCAAAACACTAGCTTTCAGCTTAAAACATGTAGATAAACTAGTTATCTTGTAACGGTGATAATCTTAACCTTTACCACGTTGGATTCTTATATAAAAATAAGTGCTTTATTTGAACTTATAGGTAAACATTTGTCTGTACAAAAAAAAATACCTAAGTCAATTTCTGTAAACATGTACAGTGAGTGTAGAAAGTATTCGTACACCTAGGGTTGTAATAAAAAAAATACGAATTTGATAGACTTTCTTTTATTTATCTAATTTAAATCAATACTATTAAATATTTTAACATTCCCGCACTTTATTTATGATAATTTTTGTTTTTTAATAAAAAAAATTATACAACATAAAAATATTTTTACGTTAACTATGCAAATAATGACAAACAAAAAGTATTCGTACACTTATAAAATTTGTAAGTAAATGAATATTAAAAAAATATTAATACTTTGTTGGACTACCGTTAGCATTGATGATAGCTTGGAGTCTCTGCGGCATCGAATCAACTAGTTTGAAAATATAAGAAGACGGTATCAATGCCCATTCTTCGCGAAGCGCAATTTTTAGTGTTTCTTTACTCGAAATTGGTCGATTTCGAATTTTATTATCGAGATAATCCTACACATGCTCTATAATATTAATATCAGGTGATTGAGGAGGAATCTCTAGGTATTTTGGAGCGTTAAACAGGATCCATGCTTTAGTATTCCATGCTTTATGTTTAGGGTCATTATCTTGTAAAAATATCCAATTATTGTTAAAACCCATTTGAGCTGCACTAGAGAGAAGATTCTCTTTTAAAATATTAATATACGTTTTGTGATCCCTAATTCCATCAATAAATGCAAGTTTTCCCACCCCAAAAGCACTCATGCAACCCCATACAAATACTGACCCACCACCGTGTTTTACCGTTGGACATAAATTTTCTTTCTTATATTCCATATTAGGTTTTCTCCATACCATATGATGTCCATCCGATTTGAAAATATTATATTTCGATTCATCTGAGTAAATAACAGTTTGCCAAAAATGATTTTTTTCATTAATATATTTTTTTGCGAATTCTAATCTTTTTTTTTCTATTAATATCATTTACCCAATACTTTTTACGCGCAGTTCTTCCATGATAATCGTTACTACGTAATACGTTCCGAACGGTACTGACAGAAATATGGCAATCATTGATATTATTAATTTCTTGTAACACTCGAGGGGCACTAATTTTTGGATTTTTTTTTACACAATTTAAAATTTTCCGATCCAATCGAGGCGTGATTTTTGATGGACGCCCCACCTCTGGGTTTGTTTTTTAGTGTTTTTGTAATAGAAAACCGATCAATTACAATCTGTACGGTTGAACGTGGTCTATTGACAAATTTTGCAATTTCACATAATGATTTGCATTGATTATGCAAATTAATAATAATTTTTCTCTCCTCTTCACTCGTTTTTTTTGCTTTACGACCCATTTTTGTAACTAAACACGTCTATACTTGTCACGAGTGCAACTAAAACGTCTAATATCTATACCTACGTATTAAAAATGACCTTGGCATTGTAGGCATATGAAAAATTCGATTGATTAAATGATTTATACAGAATTTCATTTAAAAAAGAATGAATGTACGAATACTTTTTGTTTGTCATTATTTGCATAGTTAACGTAAAAATATTCTTATGTTGTATAATTTTTTTTTAAAAAAAACTAAAATTATCATAAACAAAGTGCGGGAATGTTAAACTATTTAACAGTATTGATTTAAATTAAATAAATAGAGGAAAATCTATCAAATTCGTATTTTTTTTATTACAACCCTAGGTGTACGAATACTTTTTACACTCACTGTATATGGTAATACGAATCCTGTTTCGTACAGGACATGCTCAGTCTATGTAGGAATCGTTAAACTTTTGACTTATACAAATATACTTTAATACATCAATATTACATCAACCGTCCACTGCTAAATATAGGGTTCCCTATTTGGGGGGGGGGGGGGGGTATTGTCAGTAGTTTCCACGCTTGGAAGTCGGGTTGGCAACCGTAGTTCGGCTTTAGTGAAGTTTTAAGAAGGATCATTAGATTCCCTTAGTCGCCTCTTACAACGCCCACGGGAAAGGTTGGGGTGGCCTATTCTATACAGGGATCACACATACAAAGGCAAAAAAATACATACTTACATTTTTTTACATTTTCTAATATGTCAAATCACCATAGCAGAAACAGTCGAAAAATGTCTCCGATTTCTTAGTTACAATTTATAGACGTGATATGTTTCTGGAGAAACAGATTGTCAGAAAAATAAATATAGATGAAATTTTTGACATAATTTGCACAGTTTTTGTTTACATTCTTGCCGAATAGAATAATGTTGGTATTATTTATCATCAGATCCTACTCATAGAAGCAGGAGATGACGAAAACATAGACTACGACATCCCAGGTGTACCAACGAAAGACTATCGACCTATTCTCTGGAATTATAGAACAGAACGAACCGGCTTCTCCTGTCTCTCCAGACCTGGAGGTAGCTGCGAAGTCAGGACTGGAAAAGTGTTGGGAGGATCTAGTGTGACAAATGATATGAAATACACGAGAGGCTCCAAAGTAGATTACGATGGATGGCACAGTGCTGGAGCACTGGGATCTCTAGATTGGAAGTTTGCTAACGTTATTGATTTCTTCAAAGCCTCCGAAGACAATGGTAAGCTAATGCAACATTCAATTACAGAATTACTCATACATCATGAAAGAGAATAATATTTTAAACACAGTCAATTAAATCTACTTCTCACTTATTGATAATAACTCTATATAAGCGTTACTACGAACTTCACTGATTATATTTTCATGGGGCATGCTTAGTACCATATTAATTAGATAATTATGTTAAGTTACAAGTCTATGTTTCAAATTACTACAGATTCAGATTAATTATTATTATAACTAAACCTGGAACAAATTTTACTTCTTCTTATGCACATAATTTTGCATGCAGTAGTATCTTTTATTATGAAATAAAATAAATCTTTTTATTTCAAGGTGACTACGATATTCTGTTAAATTCAATGTATCATTCTCGAGGAGGAGAGATGCATGTTCAGAAGTTCAAATATGCAGATAAATTTATAGAGATGTTTACATCTGCATTTACGGAAATGGGTTTACGAAGTCTTGACATTAATACTAACGTTGCAGAAGCTGTAGTTAATCATCAATTCGCCATATCTAATAATACCAGATTGAGTACTAATAGTGCATTTCTAAAGCCAGTTAGACATCGAAAAAACTTGGTTGTCATAACAGGCGCGACTGTAACAAAAATTGTTACAGATAAACAGGAAAAAACTGTAGAAGGAATACTGTACGAAATAGAAAAAGGCAAAGAACATCCAGCATATGCTAAAAGAGAAGTTATTCTAACTGGTGGTGCTATTAATAACGTTAAACTATTGCATATGTCAGGTATTGGACCTAAAGCCGATTTAATAAAACACAATATATCTGTCATACTTGATCTTCCCGTGGGCTTAAATTATCAAGATCAAGTAACTACTGGAGGTCTTTCTTTTTCTCTAGGTGAAGTTATAGTTAGTGAAAGTACTATAATCAATGATTTTAAAAATTGGTTCCAATCACGTAATGGTCCTTTAGCATCTAGAGGTATAAATCAGGTATCTGCATTTATTCAATTGTATGAAGGAGTTAATGCTCCTGATGTTGAACTAGCCCTAGAAGGTAATTTTGTTAGAACTGATAAGTTCATGCTTAATAACATTAGCGTACATATATCGGAAGAGATTAATTTTCCACTACCGTATTATAATTTAGTAAATATTTATCCTATATTGCTTAGACCCAAGAGCAAAGGAAAAGTAATGCTACACAAAAAGAATCCTAAATATGGTAGACCAGTTATACAAGCAAATTTGTTAAAAGAAACAGAAGATTTGGTTACACTAGTTGATAGCATAGATATAGCATTACAGCTACTTGTTACAAAGGAAATGAAGAAAGCGGAAATCAAACTAGCACCAATAGATCTGTTTCCTTGTGACAGATTAAGAAATAGAGAACAATGGAACTGTATATCAAGACATTATACTAAAGCTATGAGTAATCCTATAGGGACTTGTCAGATGGGAGAAAACAAGACTATTTCAGTTGTAGATTACGAATTAAAAGTTCATGGATTAGAAGGATTGCGAATTGCTGATGCTTCCGTAATGCCTACTCATGTACGTGGTGGTATATTTGCTCCAACAATGATGATTGCGGAGAAAGCTTCTAATATAATACTCAAAGACTGGAAGGAAAATAAAGGATATTATTATAACACTAGATAAAATAATATTGTTTTATCCTGTCTATAGTTATTATTTAAAGTTTATTAAAGTTATTACTTAATACCAAGTTGTTTTTATTAAATCACTAGCTTTTTCAGCTATCATTATTACAGGTGCAGCTGTAGAACCTCTTGTTATTTTTGGCATAATTGATGCATCAACTACCCTTAAATTTAATGTTCCATAAACCCTTAAATTACTGTCCACCACAGATTCTGGATCTTTCATTGGGCCCATTTTACAAGTTCCGACATAGTTGTGTAAAGGTCTAGAAAAATATCTAATAATGCAAGACCAGAATTCATTAGAAACTTTTTCGTAATTTTTGCACTCATTATTTAAAATAGATCGAGGATCGAATTCAAAATCTGCAGTTTTGAATACTTCTGTATCAAAAAGTTTTACAACTTCATGTATTCCTTCTAATAGTTTCTTTTCATCACTAGGATCTTTGAGAAAGTTTGGATAAATCAATGGGTTTCCAAATATAGGATCTGTCGCATTTAGCATAACTTGACCACGACTCTTCGGCGTTAAAAGTGATACACACATGTCTATTTTGTCGTAATACATATTGGAATTATGGCCTTTAAATCTTATCTCTATGTCGGGCGTACCCAAAATATCAGAAATACTAGTTTCGAAAAAAGCCATTACTTGAAAATTTGCCGAAAGAGGACCAGTGCCTTTAGTATAATAAGTAGTAATATCTTTGAGTTTCTCAGGAAACTTAAATGTGGTTGCTGTTTTGGTTAACTTTATAACCGGTAAACAAACTGATAAATGATCATGGAAATTTGCTCCAACAGGCAAATCATTATAAGTTTTAATTTCTAAATATTCTAAGTAATCTCTAGGACCTATGCCAGATTGCATCAACAATTTTGGCGAATTTATTGCTCCAGCACATAATATTACTTCTTTAAAAGCTCTCGCTCTAAATTTTGTACCATTTTTTATATAATCTATACCTAAAGCTTTAATAATATCTCTGGTTTCTTCTATTATAATATTTGTTACTAATGCTTCTGAAACTATTTCAAGATTTGACCTTAGTTTCTTAATAGGTTCAAGAAATGCTGTGAATGCGCTAACCCTTTCACCAAAATATGACATAGTCTGAATTCTCATAAATCCCAATTGGTTTCTGCCATTAATATCTGTATAATTATATCCTAGTTCATTAAAGGCGCTTAATAATACATCTACATTATCGTCAACATATGGATATCTTCCAACATCCAACGGTCCTTGCGTCGAGTGATATATTTTGTTCTTATAAATATCTTTGTCATAATTTCCTTCAGAATACTTAAAATAGGGAAGAATTTGACTGAAAGCCCATCCTTCGTTACCATTTAAAGCCCATTCGTCATAATCTGCAGGGTTGCCTCTTACATATGCCATATCATTTATAGAAGAAGTGCCTCCAAGGACTCTCCCTTGAACAACTTCACATCCTTTATCAACTTGATTTTGACAAAACCTAAAATGTTTTATAACTATATACTATGGATGACAGATGTGTTGCTTGTTTAGAGTCTGCGCATACGTTTGCAGGTCATACTAATAAAAATAAAATAGTACTTAGGATATCAATGTTTTTGTGTAATTTGAAGTTCATTCAACAGTAAAGGACAGAACAAAAAAAAATCAACAGACGTATTCACAAACTCATGAACTAAGGTTAGGTAATCGAATGAAACTCACCCCTTCTTTGGTCGCATAGTATACTGCCAGTCTAAGGCAGATCCTTGAAATTCGCTAGTAAGGCCTGGAATTAGAGCTATTTTAGGCTCTTCAGGGCCAGCTTCGACCAGTAAAATCTTAAAAGTAAAAAAATATTAAATGTGTAAATTTTTTGAATATGTATAAAATTTTGTATCTACCTGTTCTCTAAAGTATCAGCTTTTGTTGTTAATTGTTAAGAAAAACTAGAAACCAGATTTTGGGGAGGGTGTTGATGTTTGTTATGTTTAAATTTTTACGTCTATATCTTTTTACTATAGAAAAGTATTGTTGATTTTATTATTTCTGTAATTATAACTGTTAAGAATAAATCTGGTTTTAGGTTATAAATATACATATATTGCTCTTAAAATATACTTACGAACCCGAACTTTATTATTTAAAGAACTCACCTTCCATTTCCTATTTTCTGACAATCTGCTCGCAACTACACAACCTGCCGTTCCTCCTCCTATTATGATGAAGTCGTAATCAACATCAATTAATTCATAATTCTTCTCTTCTTCATCTTCTTCTCTATCCTCACGATTAATATTATCAAAGTATCCAAAAGGCCTGTATTTACGTTTTTTATATAGTTCTTCTTCACTTTTGCTTCTCTTAGTTAATTCTTCTTTGTTATTTCTGAAGTAATCCGGCTCTTTACCAATATGACCATATAATGTGTGAATTAAAGAAATCAGAAGTATAGCTGTTGGCGCGCATTCTATTCTGCCATCACATATTTTGCATAAATCATCGGTTATATTTGCTGTCATTGCATCATTTACAATTTTCGTAATTTTATAAGAATTGTTAAACACTCCTTAAAATGCGTCATCTAATAATATTCGAAGATTTATTGGTTTTGCAAAGTTTATATCTGTAATAGGAGTCATTTCAGGACATTCGTTAATTACAGTAAGTTACACAGTTTTTTATATACGACAGTTGCATTACAGTTTTGTACACTTGTAAGAAGTCACAGTTTACTTTGAACTTTGGAATACCAAAAAAAGATACTTAGATGTCCGAGATAGAGAAAAATATCACTTTTTTATACATGTACAACAATGCAGTTTTCAAGGAGCAATGAGCCGATGTCTGTGGACATCTGGGAATTTTTTTGTTTACATTCTTCGTTCGTGTTTATGAGTAAACAGCATTGTTATGATTTCCAAGAGCTTGTGATCGAAGCACGTTATTACATGTACGGTGCGCTGTAAATTTCATTATCGTCGCCACAATATTCGGTGTTTGAAGATGTTATATTTAGGTTATGTTGTTCTAAACACTCTTGTAAATAGCATTATGTATTTAAAACATATTTTTTATGTAAATCAGCTGATCCGTAACTACATAATAAATACCTTAATAATGTCCCATTCGTGTCTCTACCGTGAAGCAGTTGTATTTGCATGGCTATATTTCGGTTTGAAGGGTGCGATATGGCGTGAATTTACAGGGTACAGAGGAATAACACCTGAGTCCTCAGGAATGGCAACGCATGGGGGGTATCATGGGCGAAACAGTATACTCTGTTATGTCCATGGTACTGCTCGTGTCTATAGGCGACGGTTACCACTTTCCATCAAGTGGACCGTCAGCTTGTTTGCCATTCTAAGTTGTATAAAAAAAAAAGTTCAGTAAAATATTTAAGAACTAGCTGTCTCCGCGAACTTCGTACCGCCTAACTGTAGATTCTTTAATTTTTTAGTTTTTTTTAATACTTATTCTGCTATTCGGGACGACAGGTCAGCTAGTAAGGTAAAAAAAAAGAAAAAAAGAAAGTTTATAAATCAACAATTACATTTTGTCAAAAAATAAAAACGATAAAATACGCCGTGCCACGTCACTCAGTTGTTTTGCCTCTCCGGAACCTCTCCATTAACAATTGAACTTTATGGTATGGTGTTAAAGTTCAAATTGATTTTTAACCATTATTACGAATCGTCTATATGGGAGTATAGAAAAGTGTTGTTTAGAGACTTTATCAGGCAATTTTTAAAATTTTTATCACCACAAAAACCATCCTCGCACTTCAAGGAATATATAAAAAAAGAATCAGCGAAATCGGTTCAGTTGTTTTTGAGATTTGCGCTTAGCAACACATTCAGCGATTCATTTTTATATTATAAATATATTATAATTAAAATTATAGCTGGGTTAAAATTTATTGCATTTATTTTATAAATAAACAATAAGAAGAACTATACATTGATCATTTCTTTATAATCATAAACGTTCTTTGTCCTTGATAGTATCAAAAGACGGGGGAAAGGGATTGTTAGTAATGGAGACTGAGAATCCCATTGCTAGCAATATACCCAACCAGGTCGACCTCCTCGCGGTTCCCCCTGGAAACTATCATGGTTAATTCCTGATGAATTCATCATGATGGGCCAACTGGCCTGTTTTCATTCTCATCTATCACCCTTCACTGGTGCTCCGCCAGCGTATCGCGTTAGCGCAGGCGGGGTTACCATACCATTTTCACCCATAAAAAAAAAGTATCAAAAGACCCGCTGTGTTATCGCCTTAGATTATAGTTATCGCGTAGATTAGCAAGATCGCAGGCGATTGCGAGTGTGACAGACACGTGTTCAGTCCAATTTATTTTATAAATATTGAATATGTTAATATCTTTATTCATTTAATGACATTTAATAATTTAATCCTATTTTAATGTTTATCAAACACAAGGCACGCTGTGGTTGCCTCTGAATATAAGAACAGTTAGATCTAATCTACCAGTGTATTGTATTGAAATGTTTCGCTGTATCTTATGTTGGTGATCCTATAAATAAATAAATATGCAATTTTTATTGGTTGGATGTAATCTTAAATTATCTATACGTTTTATAACCTCAACTGTGTTTATAATTAGCATGTAGAAATCTAAAAAATATTCTATTTATTCACCTGGGTGTTGTTCTCGAATTAAATACAAATTACTAAAAACGTAAAAATTTTTTTACGTTATTGGTAATTTCGATGTTTCAATAAAACTACATTATTTCTATAAGAAGACTTTAAGATGTATAAATATAACGAAATTCTATAGGACGACCTCATGATAATTATTTTATATGACATGTAATAACAGCGCCTTAGAAAACTAGATAGCAACAAGTTGCTAATCCACTGTATTGAAATGTAATTTATTGAAGGCGTAGCTCCCGCTGCTAACTGAAGCTATATTAATATAATAATCTTAGATTATATATATAGAGCAACGAAACTAACAAACGGATTAACTTTTTGTCAGCAAATTGTCAAATTAGCTGACTCGTTTTTTTATCAGTGTTCTATATACTTACGCATAACATTTATCTTGACGTTATATTTAATAAATATATTAAGTGTTTATGTATTAAAAAGATACAGAAATTATAAAACAAAATAAATATAGAAGTTCAAAAGGAATCACTCTTAACTATTTGTCATGCAAAATTGTATGAAAAAATGGACCCGCTTTTCTCGAAGCATTTCTATGGAGACAATCTATGTATATAAATCTAAGATAATAACATTGTTACAAACATGGTTAAAACAACAGGTTACCACAAATTATGCATAAATATTAGAATAAAATTAAAATTTGTTTTATACTACTTACTTGCATTAAGTATAAGTGTAATATTAATTTAGGTAGGTATATTACTCACGAGAAATACGTAAGTATATAAATAACCGTTTCCAAACAATAATAAGATTACACACTATTTGTGAACACTATAAAGGCGAGCTTTGACAATGGATGACGTTATTTCATCGCATACTATGGCTATTACCTGATTAGTTTGGGTGTGACTTTACTCACCCACATAAATTTCGCTATATGTTTGTTATACTTATAAGTGAAACGTTTAAAAAACAAGGACTACGTTATTCATTTTTGTCTGAATTAATTAAGCGTAAAAGTGTCTGTGTTTGCTAAAAAAAACAATATAAAAATCACAAACGATTTTATAAATGAAAATAAAATTAGGGTTAAATTAAAAATATAAGAAAAATTGTTATTAATAAAAGATAATGGATAATAATAGAGTGGTAACCTCGCCTGCGCTACCGGTATACATTGGTGGGGCACCAGTGAGGAATGAATGGTGAGGATGAAAGGGCAGGTTAGCTAGCCCAGCATGACGAATTAAACGATAAATTAATCACGAAGGTTTCCAGGGAGAACCGCGTGGAGGTAGCCAGTGGTATGACCATTCTATTATCATTAATGAAGAGATGGACAGCAGCGTCCCTCTTAAAACATGACCGAGGCTTAACTACGATTACCAACTCATTTGTGTGCGTGGCAACTACTGGTAAACCCCCTCCTATGGGGGAGGCCTCTGTTCAACAATGGACAGTTAATAAAATTGTTTGTGATAACAGTAATAGTTGATGATGATGATACGATAAGAGGCAAAACCGCGCGTTATGGCTAGTTTTGTATATACAGGTGAATTTGTAATAACAGGAATTATTCTCCCAGCAGGAAGTCATTCGGAAATTGTTCTAAACACATTACACCCGCCACATCTCAAGTGTTGCTACCTATAATGACAGGTTGAATTAAGATGGATTGTTTCGAATGTGATTTCGAAGGTTAATAGCATTATTTAAGTGTAAAATACAAACCAAAATTTTTTCTTTTCGACTACAATGCCACCCACACTTTTAGTGTTGGTAAGGAAAAATATTTCTTATTTTAATTGCGCGAAAGTTAAGTATTATTTAACGGCAATACATAATAACCTTAAATGCTGTTTCTTCGTTCTGTAATTTGAAGCAGTATATCTCAAAATGTCGGTAATTATATAATGTAATTTGAAACTGTTTTTAATAGATGAAAATGGAATAGTAACGCCGCCTGACGGAGAATAGGAGATGTCAGGTTAGTTGATACCCACTGCAACTTTAGACTCGTAAATATTTAAAGTAGTATAGTATTATATTATCTGTGCTTAAAGTACGATTAAATATTTTCACATTATGCAAATGCAAAAAAAATTTGCATTTACATCATAATGAAATGAAAATGCAAAATTTTTTGTTGTTTATTATCTAAAAATTGGAAGAATAAAATTATGAAAGTAAGTTATTATTACAATATTCTAGAAGGATGAACTTCTGTGTAAATAATTATTTAATCTGTGGTTATGTCCCAGTTGGCCAATTTCCGTTTAAACGTAAACCCTTTATATTTTAAAGTGAAATTAGTCAACAATGTCCGCACTTTATTCATAAATGACCCTACTACCTATTAAATTCCTTCATTAGACATGCAATAACAATCTAGCAGAACCGTAGAACCATTGTTCTAACGGGGAATTGAGAAATTAGCGATAATTCCCTTCATTCGCTTATTGCCTAGGGCACGCAAACTTGCCGAATTAAATGCGCAATAACAATAAATTATTATTACTGAACTTATTACAATAATGAAATATTGTTCCCTTTTTATTAAATTACGGGAAAGCAGAAAATTTTAATGAAAATACTAGAAAAGTTTTACACAGATATGCCATTTTGTAAATAGCGCCATCTGTGTTCAATAATAAAAACTCATTTTTATTTTAGTACTGCTACCGGCCACGATGGCGCTATCATATTGTAGAAATTTATGGTACAATAAATTAATAATTAAGTCTTTAATAGTTTACAGTGATGTTATCAAATAGATTTATCATTACCAAATTTAGACAATATTACAAGATTCAATCAATACTTATCAATCAACTTTGTACAAAAGTCGATTGCTTGGGTACCTCTGTCCCATTCGTGTTTCAACCGTGAAGCAGTTGTGTTTGCATGGCTGTGTTTCCGTTTATAGAGTGGGATATGGCGTGAATTTACTGAGTACAGAGAATAACACCTGAGTCCTCAGGAATGGCAACGCATGGGGGGTATCATGGGCGAAACAGTATACTCTGTTATGTCCATGGTACTGCTCATGTCTATAAGCGACGGTTACTACTTTCCATCAGGTGGACCGTCAGATTGTTTGCCATTCTAAGTTGTATAAAAAAAAATCTGTCAATTTCTCCATTAAAAGTTCATGCTCAGTATAAACTCGTCTAAACAAATAACAAATCGATTAACCGTCAATTGAATCGATTTTTTTTATAAGGTATGTAAGTAAGTCGACGAACTATCGTAGTAAACGCTGATTACTGTGTGTCGAACACGAAAAGTATTACCTTTTAAGATTATTTTTAGCAACAAAATCGCATTCTGA